GGCTCAAAGTCAAAGGATGGAAAACAATCCTACAAGCAAATGGGCCAAAAAAGAAAGCAGGAACAGCTATACTTATATCAGATAAAACAGACTTCAAACTCAAAAAAATAAAAAGAGACCCCAATGGTCACTACATTATGATTAAGGGGACAATACTTCAAGAAGAAATAACACTCATTAACATATACTCACCAAACGAAAGAGCACCAAAATATATCAGACAACTGTTGTCCTCTCTGAAAACAGACATCAGAGAAAACACATATGTAGTGGGAGACTTCAACACACCACTATCAACAATGGATAGATCAACAAGACAAAAAATAAGTAAAGAAACTAAAGCTCTAAATAAGGACCTAGAGCATTTGGGCTTAACAGACATCTATAGAACACTAAACCCAAAAAAAACGGAGTACACATTTTTCTCAAGCGCACACGGATCATTCTCCAGGATCGATCACATACTGGGCACAAGACAAACATCAACAGATACACCAAGATTGAAATCATACCAACCATCTTTTCTGACCACGAAGGCATCAAACTAGAAATAAATCATAAAAAGAAGGCAAGGAACTATCCTACCTCATGGAGATTAAAAGCCACACTACTGGAAGACCACTGGACTAACGAGGAGATCAAAGAAGAAATTAAAAAATTCTTTGAATTGAATGACAAGGAGGACACCAATATCCTAAATGTATGGGATGCAGCAAAAGCAGTAATAAGAGGAAAATATATAGCAATAGAAGCTCACATCAAAAAACAAGAAAGAACTCAAAAAACAACCTAATCTCGAAGCTCAAAGATCTAGAAAAAGAACAAACAAAAAAACCCCAGAACCAGTAGAAGAAAAGAAATAATAAAAACCAAAGCAGAAATAAATGAAATTGAAACTAAAAAAACAATCCAAAAGATCAATGAAACCAAGAGCTGGTTCTTTGAAAAAATAAATAAAATAGACAAACCCCTAGCCAGGCTCACAAAGGAAAAAGGGAGAAAGCACAAATGCACAGAATCATAAATGAAAGAGGAGAAATCACAACGGACACAGCAGAAATCAAAAGAATAATCAGTAACTACTATGAACAGTTATATGGAAACAAGTTCAACAATCTAGAGGAGATGGACAAATTCCTACAACTCTACAATCACCCAAAGCTAGATAAAGAAGAAATAGAACACCTAAACAGACCAATTACAAGCAGCGAAATTGAAATGGTAATTAAAAACCTCCCCAAAAACAAAAGCCCAGGACCTGATGGATTTACAAATGAATTCTACCAAACATTCAGAGACGAATTAGTGCCTATCCTTCACAAACTCTTCCAAAAAATTGAGAAGGAAGGGACAATACCAAACACGTTCTATGAAGCCAATATTACACTAATACCAAAACCGAATAAGGACAACACAAAAAAGGAAAACTATAGGCCAATCTCCCTAATGAACACTGATGCAAAAATCCTCAATAAAATTTTAGCTATCAGAATCCAACAATGTATCCATAAGATAATTCACCACGACCAAGTTGGATTCATTCCAGGGGCACAAGGATGGTTTAACATCCGAAAATCAATCAACGTTATCCAACACATCAACAAAAAGAAATATAAAAACCATATGATAATATCAATAGATGCTGAGAAAGCTTTCGACAAAGTGCAACACCCATTCATGATAAAAGCCCTTGAAATTCTTGGGATACAAGGAACATACCTCAACATCATAAAGGCCATCTATGACAAGCCAACAGCCAGTATCATTCTCAATGGTGAAAAGCTGAAAGCAATTCCATTAAGATCTGGAACAAGACAAGGATGTCCACTCTCACCACTGCTTTTCAATATAATACTGGAAGTCCTAGCCAGAGCAATAAGACAAGAGAAAGACATCCAAGGAATCCAAATAGGAAAAGAAGAAGTCAAACTATCACTATTTGCAGATGATATGATAATATACATAGAGAACCCCAAAATCTCCACAGAAAAACTAATTCAACTCATCAATCAATTCAGTAAAGTGGCAGGATACAAAATCAACACGCAAAAGTCAGTAGCCTTCCTATACACAAACAATAAATCTGAAGAAGAAGAAATCAAAAAAACCACCCCTTTTATTATCGAAACAAAAAAAATCAAATATTTGGGAATAAATCTAACAAAAGAGGTAAAGGACCTATACAAAGAAAACTATAAAACACTGTTAAAAGAAATAGAAGAAGACACAAAGAAATGGAAAGACATCCCCTGCTCATGGATTGGAAGAATAAACATTATTAAAATGGCCATCCTACCAAAAGCAATATACAGATTCAATGCTATTCCAATCAAAATCTCAATGGCATTCTTCAAAGAAATAGAACAATTATTGATGAAATTCATATGGAATCACCAAAAACCCCGAATAGCCAAAGCTCTACTGAAAAAAAAAGAAGGAAATGGAGGCATCACACTCCCAGACTTCAAACTATACTACAAAGCCATAATCATCAAAACTGCATGGTATTGGAACAAGAACAGACATACAGACCAATGGAATCGAATAGAAAATCCAGAAATAAACCCACAGATTTATGGTCAACTAATCTTTGACAAAGGAGCAAAGAACATGCATTGGAGCAAAGAAAGTTTGTTCAATAAATGGTGCTGGGAAAACTGGGTCGCTACATGCAAAAGAATGAAGCTTGACCACTACCTCACACCATACACAAAAATCAACTCAAAATGGATTAAAGAACTAGACATAAGACCTGAAACCATAAAATACATAGAAGGAAATATAGGCGAAACACTACGGGATTTGCACATCAAAGACATCTTTACAGACACATCACCCAAAGCAGTGATAGTGAAGAGAAAGATAAACAGCTGGGACTACATCAAATTAAAGAGCTTCTGCACAGCAAAAGAGACAATAACAAAAACAAAGAGAAACCCCACCAACTGGGAGAACATTTTTGCACCCAACACTAATGATAAAGGACTGATCACAAAAATCTGCAAAGAGCTGATGAGACTCAGCAACAACAAAGAAAATAATCCAGTCAAAAAATGGGCAGAAGAGCTAAAAAGAAACTTCTCTGAAGAGGAAATGCAAATGGCCAACAGACATATGAAAAAATGTTCAACATCACTTGTAATCAGGGAAATGCAAATCAAAACTACCATGAGATACCATCTGACACCAGTGAGAATGGCACATATTAAAAAAACTAGCAACAACAAATGTTGGCGAGGATGTGGAGAAAAAGGAACTCTTGTGCACTGTTGGTGGGAGTGCAAACTGGTCCAACCACTATGGAGAGCTGTGTGGAGATTTCTGGACCTACTAAACATAGAGCTTCCATATGATCCAGCAATTCCACTCCTAGGTATTTACCCAAAGGACACAGAAACATCAATTCCAAAGAGCACCTGCACTCCTATGTTTATAGCAGCACTGTTTACAATAGCTAAGCTTTGGAAACAACCCAAATGCCCAAAAATAGATGACTGGATCAAGAAGATGTGGTACATATATACCATGGAATATTACTCAGCATTCAAAAAAGATAAACACATGCAATTTGCAGCAACATGGATGGCACTGGAAGGGATCATGCTCAGCGAAATAAGCCAAAAAGAAAAAGAAAAATACCGGATGGTCTCACTCATAGCAGGAATCTAGAAAACTTAAATAAGGGACCAGGAAAATGAATATAAGAAAGTGAAAATCAAAATCAACAAAAAAACTATGAACCAGAGACACTTTTTGGGGGGTGGGGGGCGGGAGGGGAAGGATTGGGGTCAGAATGGGGCGTTTGCAATTGTATGGGGGAATATAAAAATAAAATTTAATATTTAAAAAAAAAAAAAAAAAAAATATATTTCTAGTTCCAGGAATTTATAAAAGCAACAATAAAAATAACCAAAAAAACAAGAATATGTCAATAATATATAGGAGTTAAACCACCACTTTGGAGTGCTCACTATTTCTCTAGAACTGTGCATACCTCATATGCATTATCACTTTCACTGACTTGTGCATGCAATATTTGTGGACTGCCTGCTAATTGTTGGGATGGTAATAACGAGCAAAGAAACCTAATCTGAGAAAGACCTGATTTGCTCTCAGGGAGTTCAGAGATTAGTGAGGAAGCTTCAGAGAAATGTCTGCTTCAGGTAAAATTCTACATAAAACTTTTCTTTAGATCAACACATTAGTCCTTTCTTTAATACTACATGTAAATCTATTGGGAGAAAAGAAGAAATGGCAACTCAGAGGGCTAAGCAATTACTTCCAACTCCCATTGCTAGCAGGAGGTAATGAAAGGACCTGAACACCGCACTTCTGGAACTTACTTTTGAGTTCTTTCCAATAAACTGTAATGAATTTTTCTAACATAGCTATAACTTAGAGTCAAGTTATAGCTTAAGTACCATGGTGTAGGGTAAGTACCATGGTGTAGGGTAAGGAAAAATGTCAGGCTTTTCTGCCCTCCTGCCGTCAGGATAGATGACGGATCCTTGCGGTCCTGAATGCATGCCTGATGGCGGGCACCTGGAATAGGGTGTGGGCACATGTAGACAGGATTCACCTGGGCTAAGACTGGGCTTTTTTTAAGGGCGGCGTCACAGGGACGCCAGTAGAAGCCAAAGCAGAAGCCAAGAGAGAAGCTGAGAAAGAAGCAGCAGAAGCCGAAGAGAAGCCGAGAGAAGGCCGGAGAGCCCAGATAGAGTGAAGACTTGCTGGGGGTTGGGAGGTCTGTCAGCCTCGCGGCCCCCCAGCACCCCTGCCTGCCATATGCCTGGTGAACCCCAATAAAAAAACTTGCAAAACCACTGAGGACTCTGACTCCTCCTTTACCCAGTCTGCTGGATCAGAAAACCTGCAGTGTCCATTCCTGCCCCTTACAATTGGCATAAGTCGGCAAGATGATCCATGCAGACGGGTATGGAGCCCTCCGAAGACCTGGAGGGAATAAGGAGTAACAGACTGTTTCCCTGTGACAACGCTAGAGGCACCATGGCGGCACAGGAGATGGACAAGGTCCGGAAGCTACAGGACGAGATCTTGCATGAATGAGACGCCCAAGAGGACCAGCCAACAACCCCTGAGGCAGCAAGAATCGTCGGAAGAGAGGACCACGATTCGGAGCTCACCAGTGCTGATTCAGGGAGAGGCCAACGAACTTGGCCTAATGGACTTGGACTGATGGACTCGGACTGATGAACTTGGACTGACAATCCCGCCAGAAGGCGGAGAACCTTGCAGGTTGATATGTTTGGGGACCCTCGGGGTGGAACAGTTTTGTTTGTAAACCCCAGGAGATGGGAATCTGGGGGTGGCCAGTGGGCCCTGATGGCCAAAAGCAGCCTGTGTATGCCCAGCAGCTAGGCGGAGGAGAAAAGCCAACTGAGAAGGCAAAAGCTGGTGCTGATGCTAAGTTTGGGAAGCCCTGAGCGGCTGTTAAGCAGCCTGAGTATGCTGAAGACCTGTGAGTCTCGTAAAATCACCTGTGGGTGATGCCCTGCTCATTCCTGAGTGAGGGTGAGTTGCTGAGGAACCCGTCCTTGGGGGACGGGTGGGGAACGTAGCTTGGGGTGGAGCCCAAGCCGAATGTAGAGTTTGGATCCCCGACCCATGTGCTTGTGCAGTGGGTTGGCCTGAGTGCAGGGGTCTGCGAGTCGCATTGGTGGCTATGAAAGCCGAATGTTAGAGCGACTGCAGACAGAAACCCTGAGGGTTGGCGATTACACCCAACAGAATAGAATCGCCAATCCCAGAGTGAGTGCATCCTGGGGGTGGATGCGGTGTGTGGCTTGTAGCCGAGACTACAGCCAGAGAAGGCCAGGAAGCCTGACGGCTCCTGGTGTGATATAGTAGATGCCGTGAGTGGTTCCCCTCCCTCATATGAGCAGTGCCTTCGGCAGCAGATTTGGTGGTTCATCTTCTGGTACCAATAATTGTCTTTTGCACTAGGTTGGGGCCCTGCCTGGACTTATTTGTGTTCTGTTGTATGTTGTTATATTGTGATCTATTTGCTTTTGTGGGCCATGGCTGCATTGTTTATGTTTGCTAAGAAAATTGTATATATGTAGATTGAATGGCAGAAAACCCTGAGGGGGTGGACTGTAGGGTAAGGAAAAATGTCAGGCTTTTCTGCCCTCCTGCCATCAGGATAGATGATGGATCCTTGTGGTCCTGAATGCATGCCTGATGGCAGACACCCGGAATAGGGTGTGGGCAGATGTAGATAGGATTCACCTGGGCTAAGACTGTGCTTTTTAAGGGCGGCGTCACAGGGACGCCAGCAAAAGCCGAAGCAGAAGCCAAAAGAGAAGCCGAGAAAGAAGCAGCAGAAGCTGAGAGAAGGCCGGAGAGCTCAGATAGAGTGAAGACTTGCTGGGGTCTGGGAGGACTGCCAGCCTCCCGGATCCCGGACCCCAGCACCCCTGCCTGCCATATGCTTGGTGAACCCCAATAAAAAAACCTGCAAAACCACTGAGGACTCTGACTCCTCCTTTACCTGGTCTGCATGGGATCAGAAAACCTGCTTTGTGTCCATTCCTGACCCTTACACATGGCTGCTTCATAGCAGAAGCCCAGAAATTGCCCTTACTCCAGTGAGGAGACATGGGTGTTCAGAGAGGGCCAAGAGAGCTGTAGAATCCCAAGAAAATGACAAAGAGATGACAGAGAGTTTGGCCTTAGCAACAAGAGACAAATGGCCAAAACAATGGATCCTACAGTGGCATCTGAATGGTGTTCCAAAGAGTCAGCTGAACAGATTGTACCTACTGACCACCTTTCCATAGGCAAGGTCAGAACGACCACTATACCATAAGAACCAGTGAGGGGTCATATTCTGGCCACAGTAGAATCACCTAGCCTTTCTTTACCTAGAGTGTCGTCTGTGAGAAGAGAGCAGAAGGGGTTCCAGAAAACTAAATATTTTTGAGAAATACAACACACTCAAAAGTTGAAACCAAGATAACTTTGATTGTTATCTCTCCCATTCCTCACTGATAAGCAGAAGGATGAGGTTCATGAGTAATATTAGAGTCATAAAGAATAAAAAACTGCATGTTCTTATCCTCACCTAGTTGTAATATAGAGTTCAATCTATATTAACCACAAATATGCACACAAATGTGACAATTTCTAAAGATCATTTAGAATTTATTGCTTAATCCCTACACACTGAGAAGGCAAAAATAATTTCTGTAGAAGTTCAGTAGATTTTTGTACTACAATTCATTGCATATTCATTGACATACAGAGTCATCCCCATGGTCACTGTGTATTTTTTTTTTTTTTACTGCCTTCTATAAATTGGACATTGGGAACAGAATAGTGGTCAAAAAATAAAAGGTCATGAATTCACCATAGTAAGTGAAGCCAAGGAGTTTGGTCCAAGGTCAAATACTTAATAAACTGTAGAATCACAGGATTTAAACTCGGGTATATCTAATTCCAAAGCACATACTCTTTCTGTCTTACCATATTAGTTAAATATGAACTAGAAAAACAGAATTTCATGCTTATAGCTAGTCTGCTCTTTTTTTGAAAGACCAGAACTATAACTTGTTCTATTCAATGAATCTGTAACCTTTAACTTCCTTAAAGAAGTTTGGGGCCCTATGTCTGCGCATTTGTATCAAGTAGTTAGTGATAAGATTTTCAGTGTTTAAAGAAAACTAAATTGATTCATAAGGAAATAAATACTACAGCAGTGGTTCTAATATATGGTTCCTGAACCAACAGCATCAGCCTAATCACGGACTTGCTAGAAATGCAAACTCTCATGCCAGTCTCGGACCCACTGAATCAAAAACTCTGGGTGTGTGGTGCAGCACTACTTTAACAAATTCTGTATTTGAGAACAACTACCTTATAGCCAAAGGGGAATGCTAATTCTCCTTAACCTTAGCACACACCAGATGTTTCTCAACAGAGAACCGAGAAGCCACTACCAGTGATTCTGAGTTGGTGCTTATAGAGACCTATTTGTCATTATCAGTTGTTCAACCAACTAATTCCACAGATGAGAAAATGAGGTCAAGAGAGAGAGAGTGGCATATACAAAGTCACAGAGGAGAAGAGTGGCAGAAATAAAGTAAATCTAATTTGGTCCTTCCAAACACCACAGTGGTTTGGCTGAAACAGTATTTCCTGATGAACAGAACTTGAAACAGTTGGGTGACTAGGGATCGGAGGGTAGTTAATAACTTTTATAAGCCAAGCTGTGGTATCTGGTTGAGGAACCAGCACACAACCAGGGATTGAGATGGAATCTGACACCCAGTTTGGGACTATACTAGACCAGCATGAAGCAAAAGAGGCAAAAAGAAATCTGAGCTGGAAATGGAGGGGCATCTCTCCCCCTTACCCTGTTTGGGCAGCTTCCAGCTCCCCACGATCCTGCCTCTGTTTTGCCATTTGGATGAATTACCTCTCTCTGGCGCCTGTTTCCTGAACCCTCCTCCACCCACAGCTGCTGGATCTGATCTCCCTTCATCTTCACCAAGCCTGAGAACCTCGGGGAGCTCAGGGGAGTTGCCAAGCCACAGTAGGAATGAAAAGCAGGACTTCCAGGAGCACTGTTGCTGATGAGTAGGGTCAGGGAACAAGAGAACCTTGTGACATTACTGGTTATAACTAAACAGATAGTCCTCTAGACAGGTAAATGACTTTTTTTTTTAATTTGAAAAGAATATTTTGTTGAGAACAACCACAACAAAAAAACTCTCCATGCTTCTAGTCTACCATCTGTTCAAAAGGAGCAGTTGTTGCTCTTGTTGTTGTCAAATTTATAGCATCTAGAATTTTCATTTGGTGTATATATAGCAGTAAAGTGTATGAATTGGTGACAATGACTGAATTTCTTCAACTTTGATCCAGATGCTGGTGATTTCAAACTAGTTGGAATTTTCATCACTTAGAACAATCTAGTAACATACTTAATGAATTTAATCCTCAATTGTTTCATGTGTAAAATTGAGATAATAGTAAAGATAATTCATGCCCTATCCTTCTCATAGGATGAGGTTATATGAGGCAGCGGTTTTGAAAATGCTTTGCAATCTATAAAATATCACACAGATGTGAATTAGATGTTATTATTATCACTTCAAATTTCCTTGACCAACTACGATAGTCCCAATTTACTAATGCATTTTATGGCTTCGTCATGGAGCTTATTATTAAAAAGAAATATTTCACTTGGAACATCTTAAATTCTAACGGACAACTCTCCAATGCTACCTTCCCACTGGTTCAGTTTTCCCTTCCATAGGCATGCCATGCATATTTTTTAAACTCATTGCAAGTCTTTCCAAAGTTCTTTGATCTTTTTCCCCTCTCTATCAGCCTTCTCCTGCCTTCACTTCCTTCCCTATCCACTGGAACTAGATAGTCTATCACTGTAATTACTTTATTGCAAGTACCCTCATTCTATCAATCTACCCTCATCCTCCCAATCTACTTCTACCATACTACACTCTAATCTGCAAACTTAAATCAATGTAACCATTTTACTTCCTCCCTTAGTTGCTGAATACTATTCAAAGAAATGACACAATTGAAGGGATGGGTGCCACTGAAAATTTTTGGTTCCAAGTTCATTGGGACTTTTTACCAAAGCAATTATTTCACATCTTACTCTAGTCAAGCCTAATTGCTGTTTCCCTTTTCTTTTCTTTTTTTTAAAATTTAATATTTTATTTTATATAATTCTTACATCATTTTTCATTTTTGCACAATGTATGCATTTTCATTTTGGTTATATTCCCCATACAATTGCACCCCCTCCCCTTATTTTGACCCTAGTCCTTCCTCTCCCCTTCCTTACCCCAGCTATAGTGTGTCTCTGGTTTATAGTTGCTTGTTGATTTTGATTTTTACTTTATATTAATTAGTCTTTTTCCTGGTCCATTATTTAGGTTTTCTAAATTCCTGCTTCCCTTTTCTTTCTCTCTTTCTTTTTTTAAGGTCTGTGTAGGGTAAGGAAAAATGTCAGGCTTTTCTGCCCTCCGGCCATCAGGATAGATGATGGATCCCTGCAGTCCTGAATGCATGCCTGA